ATTTATGCGATCTGAGCTTTGTTTAAGAGTGGTGGTGGTAGTAGTACTTTCTAGTGGTGGTATTAAAGGTTTTAAATGTTTGTTTAGATGGTGCATGTTAGTCAAAAGATTGAATTAGAAGAGGCTGGTGGCTCTAAAATACAAAACAACACTGGGGCTGGTGTATACAGTAAACTTTTTTCCCGATGTACTCCCGTGGGACACTTCATGTCAAATTTTGATACGAAGATCCTTGCAATCTCACTGGCTCTGGAAAACCTCAAGATAAAGATTGATTGTTTCTCTAAAGCAGTTATTCCAGTCGAAAGCAGCCATCCAGGATGCAGTTATAAATCATAATACAGATATCCAGTTTACCTCATAAATAAGACAAACCTTGAACTTTCTTTATAAATACAACAAAACAATTGTTTTTCAATGGATCCCTTCACATGTGGGTATTGGAGGTAATGAAAAGGCAGACTCACTAGCCAAGAGAGGAAAACTTGTACCACAAGACAGCAAACCACTTCCTCCAGAGTCACTTAAAAAGCATATTTTTGAGAAATTAATGGCAATCCTCTTAAATCTGACCAGGCAGCAAAATCAATAGGCAAATCCGGGGCTAACATTCAAGACACATAAAAAATGTTTTGTCAAAAACCCTGTTAAGAGACTGTGGCAAACAGGTCAAGATTGCATGGCATATCATCTTCATAAAATTGGCATCCTTCCATCTAGTTTTGCTAAATTTGCAATTCGGGCATCATCAATGCTGAGCATTTTCTTATATGCCCAGAACTAGATTAAAAAAAAAAAAAAAAAGTCTCAGAAACGTGTGGTGAAATAAGTAAACTATATTGGAATGCCAGAGCTTTCATGAACTCCTTGTAAAAGACTACATCTCTTATATTCCTTTCCTTGTTGTTTAAATTTTTAACTTTTTACTTTTTGTTCCCATGTTCATTTATTCTGATTCTTACTTTATAAATGTTTATACTTTATTATTTATCATTGCACTTGTGAGACACTTGAGTTTGTTGTATACATTTGAATTGATCTTTCCAATAAAGCCGTATGTATTTACACAACATATAAAACTATGTACATTAGTTACATGTACGAAATTTTAAAATACATTTTCTCTACAACGGAGCTAGTGAAGCCTTGCATTCGTGTCTTTTTGTTGGAATCAACAATCTTCCCACCTATGAACTAGGAGAAAAGCCCTCACCCTTCTGGCAGAGGCCTCATTTTGCTTAGATTTTTTAAGGAATGAGTTTTACAGTAGTATGTACTATTCTTTCAAGATATTAAGTATATTCATACTTTTTTTTTGTAAATTTCTTTGAAGACAAATAACACTGATACAAAATGTATGATATTCAAATGTATGAAATTCAAAATGTATGATATTCAAATGTATGAAATTCAAAATGTATGATATTTAAAAGGGAATTTTAAATATATTTTTCTATAAAATATTTACCTCTTTTAAATGTAATCTAAACTATTGAAAACATTGTGGGTCACATGTGAAACAACAAAAGTCACCAAAATCAGTTTTCAGCTACACCTGTATGCTATTAGACATTTGCACACGCACAGTGTATATGTGTACTATATGAAGAAAACTGTATGAAAGAAAAAAAAAAAAGAAAGAAAGAAAGAAAAAACTCAAATTTAAGGCGCCAATTACTTAACCCTCCAAGTGTTCAAGTCATATTTTATTATTATCAAGTCATATTATATTTTATTAGTTATTATATATACATTGTTATGTTTATATTGGTTCATAATGGATTGAATGCACACAGAACTAATGAAAACTGATAAATTTTATTTTTTCAAAAACACTTTATTTTTGGAACTTCTCACACAAATGTAATTGTACAGCTCTTGTCAATATCACAGAGCACAACCAGTAGTTAACACCTCAAACTACTAAGAATGTTGAACACGAGGCAATGCAAAAAGCCTCAAATGCATAAGCTTGCACAATAATTCCTCAATATTTTGACCTAAACTGAAAACATGCTCTGTTTGGTCTGTTAGTTTTCCCCCATCTGCCGGGATATTTCCTGTACCTTCGAATTCTCAGAATTGCTGGAAGGCTTACATGGTTACAGTGTATTACAAGGTTTAGCAACACAGTTACATAGGAATTTTGCCAGCTTGGGGCTATCTCACAAATTTGGCGAGATAACCATCTACCTCAATGTTAAATAGACTTATCCTTGTAACCTGATTTTCCGGCAATGCTTCACATTCTGACGCTTTTCATACTACTTATACAAGTAAGACTACAATTTACATATAATTTTTATAAAATCATTTACCTATATACTAAATTCATAACATTGCTCCCCTTCCCAATACTACACATCCCGAAAAGTACAACCCCCATACAGGAAGCCACACTTAAAATTAAGAAAAATCAATAACTGGTCACTAAATGCAATATTAAAATAATAACTTCCATAAATAATATAAAACAAATCCAAATACTAAATAAATAAATGCATACATTTAGTAAGGGGCAAGCCTGTTGCAATCAATGACTTTAGGTTTAAAATTTGATGACTTACAGGTCCAAACTATGCTGCTGTTTAGCTTGTTTAGTACTGTGTAAGGACCATCCCAGGATATCTGTAGTTTAGGAGTCATTTCCATTTAATTAGATTCCATAACCACACCTTGTCACCATCATTGAATCGCATAATTTTTATGTCATATCGTCTCATCTTCTCTGTTGTCAAACTGACTCATTCTTCTGCACAGTTGTGCATCACTTCAAACTGCGCCTAGAGATTTTGAACGTATTCTTCAGGTGATGAAGGCGCATCTGGAGGGTGACCAAACAAGAGATCACAAGGCAGATGAAGATCCTGGCTAAAGCAAATCTGGGATTGTGATAGGCCAGTAAGAACAAAGGTAACTTCTGGCCCCAGTTCTGCTAGTTTCTAGAAACCATCAGTGAGATTTTATTAAGGATGGTGCTGTCTGACTGTTAATATAATGGTGTCATTCAGGCTTTGTCTCTTCTGAGTAGTTTACAGTGTTCTCTAATTAAAGCTGAGATAAAATTCTTTCCTTGATCAGAACAACTGAAGAAGCACTCAAAACCTGGAAGGCCATTATTATCCCAAGTATGATGAAAGCCTCTTAATTAGAGACTAAGCTTTAGTCCCTTTTGTAAAGTAATCATTATTTTGATTACACTAATGCACGTAATGCATCAGAAAATCTATAAATGAAGCTAATTTACAATGTGATATAAATTTTATTCAAAGATATGAAGATACAGATTTTATTAACTTGTCAAAAATTAATAGGTTAATTTAAGAATTTTTGCACTAAGATTATCTCTTTGTTGGGAATACATTTATATATGAACAGCATTTTTTCACGGTTAAAAATAAATTAAAAAAAAACTTGATTGACTGATGAGCATCTATAATCTGTGCTGAATGTAAGTTCTACTAATTTCTCTCCCATGCTACAAACTTTTATCAAAATTGAAACCCTTTTTGTGAGAAAATTTCCCTTTTTTGGGAGAGAATTGGATATAGTGAACCAAACTTCTAGTCTCATGAAGTTTGTTACAGCTAAATTAATTATATTTTTAAATTAAAAAAAAAAAAAAACTGAAATGTTTCAATTTTAATTATGTCCAAAGGGCGTTTTTTAATGTTTTGAGTTTACTTTTATTTATTAAATATCATGTTCTTTGCACTTAAACCATAAAATCAGTTTCAGAGCAATATCGCAAAATAATGTTAAATTAGCATATCTTTAAAATTTCCGATATACACACTCTCGCGAGTGGAGATAAAGTATTTTTTTTCTATATAACGTTGCCATTTCTCGCTTTAAAGCATTGATTTGTAAATCAAAATTCGTTAAAGTTTACAAAATAAAATCGATATAAACAAATTCCAAATTTGGGGATTTCAGATGCCCATATTCGCAATAGGAATTCGTCATTCAAATTCGATGGCTCTATGTACCATTGTTTTATCACAATGCGAGAAATAGACAATCATTTATGCAGATTTTTCATTATTTAATTTCTTCAAATATAATGCAAGACTCTTAACATTTTGGGCAACAGTTTGAAAGTGAACCGACGTTTATGAGTCCGACGCAAAATCGCAAAACGAAAACAATAGTCCTTCAGGGACAAAGCCCCTTTGGACTAAAAAAAAATCAAATTTTTTTATTTATTATTTTTATTGTGGCTATAGATAAAAAAATGATCAATGAAAACAATTTTTAATGCCTACTGATGGCATCAAAAATATGAACAATTCATTTTTTAAAAATAAATATTAAAATAACAGGCAAAATCAAAAAAGCTCTATTTTTGCCAGTTAAGACAAAGTCTATTGTACTTATTAGTTGTTTTGAAAGTTTACTTAAAATGTTTAATTTGTGACACTTTAATACTGCTAAATTAAAAATAGAAATCCTAGCTTTCTGAAGTCAGACAAATAAAACTTAAAATAGAAATTAATTCTACAACTAAAATTTAAAAAGGCTTTGATTTTATCAGCGGCCGAGTGGTCATTTATAATTGATAGTTCAGTCAGGGGTTTAGTTCAGTCCCACCTATGTATTACTATTCATTTATAATTGATAGTTAGTCAGGGGTGCCATGGGTGTTTTTGTGGTTTTCCCAATGTGTAACCTATATATGACCTAGTTCCCTTAGAAAGTCCTCCACAAAGGCATTTTTCTCTTAGGCAGATAGCGCTCATGTACTTTGCGATAATTATATAACCCAAACCATAAAAAAGCTATGAAAAATTTTAAATTGTACAGCTTATTTGCTTTCAACATCACTTAGCATAAAATACATAATTAATAAAATAACGAAATTCCATAATAAAAGTTCATGAACATTACAATTTATCACATAAATTAAATATGTCTGTATGAAATCAGTTTTGTAGATCTCTTCAGCCTTATAACAATGAATGTCATTAAATTTTCAGGTAAAAAAATTTTGCAACATAAAATTTAATTTCAACATCTATAAATTTATTTAAATAAAATTGTTTTATTGGATATAAATAAATATTTGAGGTACTTTCAAAAAGCATGTATTTACAATCCATGAACATGTAAAAATGAAATAACTGCACTTTTTCTTTCATTTATACACATTTGGTATTTACAAGTTTAAAATCTGAGACTTTACGCTGAAAAAACAAACACACCAAAATCTTTCCTTGGAAAAAAATCATTTCGGGAAATATTATTATTTGTTGTCATTGCTCTAATTTCTTGCCTGCAATAAAAAAAGGAAAATACTTATTATAGTTATCAGGAAAAAACTATATATATATATAAAACAATGAATCAGTTATCCTCAATATGACAGTTTACATATATAACAAAAAGCAGGACTTTACAATTAAATTTAAAGATTTAGGTAATATATATGTATCCAATTTATTTCACATTGGTCCATAAAACAGCTTATAGTCCATATAAAGATTATTTATATATACCCATAAATCTTACTGAAGACTTTTCCATATCATATTGTAAAAATAATTAAAAGTATTTACGTGATTACTAATTTAAAAATTGATTTAGAAAATTTTTGCAAATAGAAAAAAGTAAAAATAATTAGACACTTTATAAGAATATGAGAATTCTAACAGATATTCTAAGCTTACAGCTAAGGAATACCATATTTACTTGGGCATTTCTCCCCTTTTCTTTGCTACTGGAAAACCAGGAGGGGAAAAATATAGTATTTTTTAAGAGATGGCTTATATATATAATTATTATTAAAAATTGCACACATAAATTATTATACTGTGTATTTAAAAGGATTATTATATTATGCATTTCAAAGAACTTATCAAATTTAAATTACCATATATTCCCACATATAATTTTTATTTTAATTTCTCCTGCCAACTTAACTTCAATTATTAGGCACAGAGTATTCTACATCCAACTTTAAACAATTATTCTTATATACAAAATAAATTAATAATAATAAAAATGCAAAGTTTTCTTAGAACCACAGGACTGATGTCTTATCATAAAGCAATTGATATGAGAGTCATTATGAAATGGCATTCACATCATCATGCTTTAACTGCAAATTCCAATCTCTTAACAAACTCCTGTATCCCGACGAAGTACATGCTCATCATAGTGCATTCTCAAAATAAGGCACAGAGTTTTATGAAAGTAGTTTCAACATTAGAGGAAGGAGAGTTCCATAAATATAAAAATCTAATATTTTTGTGGCTCTCGTAAAATAAAATTTCTACTCAGTAAAATATTTGCTATGATTTCATAAATTCAAAAAGTTGTTTTATCTTATGTCCAAAATCAGCAGATATATGCATAATTTGCTATTTTTATAAGGTCAGTTGCAAATTTTGTTACAAAATTAGTAACGAGCATAATCAAATTCTGAATTGTCAATAAAAGTAATTTTAGTTTTGTAGTTGCTCTCTATATTTGGTAAAAAATCTTAAAACTTTGAATACAACAGATTTGGTAGATTTTAAAAGAATATTATTTTCTTAATGTTTATATTAAATTTCATATTACATATTTATTGAACCCTTTATGTGTATTTATTTTTTAAACATTTCCTTTGTAACTTGCATATTAAAAATATTAAAAACATATTTATTAAATTTAATTTAAATATGCATACATTTAATTTCATATTTTTTAATACTTACATCAAAAATCTAGGAAGGCGATTGATATTCAGTTGAAAGTCTATTATTTTCAACTGGCACAACGTTTTCAATGATGGAACTGTAATTAAATTTTGAATTATCCATCAATTAAAATACACAACTTTAAATCAGTATTAACCATGTTTAACTACCTTTCACTTAATTTACCTTTTACTTAATTTACTTAATTTTGCTGAATAAAATATATGTGTTGTATTTACAACATGCTAAAATGCTTATTCTCTAATTACAACCAAATTAAGGAATTTCGAAAAGTATTGCTAATTTAAGAAATCTCATGTGGACACCACGACTTCCTTGCAACAGCCTATTAAATAATACACATTTTTTGCTGCATTTCATTTAAACTTATTTCCTTGAATTTCATTAGAGATAGATTTCTCATTAATTTAATTCAGTTCTCAAATTGCGGCAAAGCAAACATACATACAAACTCTAAACATCTTCCTTAAAAATTGTAAAATACGGAAAAACATAAACACAAAACACGGTTAAAACAGTTAAAAAAAAGCAATTTTTACAATTAAAACTAGAGTTTCTACACAAAAACACGCAATTTGGCCAGCAGGCAAGAAGGCAGATTTTTTGGTGCACAAAACTGAAAATTTATTTTTCGTCCAACTCGGCAGAAAGACACTAAGGGTGCAGAAACTGACTTGAAACTCACTATTCTACTGTTTTAAATGTAAAAAAATTGGCGGTTCATTAGGCTTAACTCGCCACTTAAAGTTCTAAATTGTTGATAATTCTACAACAATTGCATGCAGCTTAACTAAAAGCATAAAAACCTTAATCAGAACATAAAAACTACATAATTCAATCACTTTTAAAGCAAAAAACACACAATTTACCAATTCAACGAGCCAAGTAACACAGTGGGTGTATATATATAACATCCAGACGTGAGTGGTTGATATTTTCATTGAAATATGATACCCGAAATTTTTTACAATTACAATACTTCCTTTACTTTATACAAAGAAGTAAAAAGACCAAAAAAAAAAAAAAAAAAAAAAATCTACGATTTGGGCACAATTTTAACATTTCACTTATTTAATTTAAATATACAGCCATATAGCTATACCAATAAATGAATTTGCTAGAAGATACCCATTTATTTTCACTTAAATGCCTTAACAAATATATATATATATATATATACATATATTATGTAAAATGAAATCTGTTGATTCTATATGTTAGTGCAAGCTAGCTTTCAGTACATTGTGATTGAGAATAATTTATCCCAGCATCATTTAATAATGAGAAAACTATCATTTAGGTTATATTTGCAAAGTTTTACATTAGTGGAGTTTGATGAAAAATGTGTGAAAGATTCTAAATTCAATAAAGAATAGGCTGGTTGTTTTATTTTGTGAATATGCTGCATCTAGGGTTCACACACTTTGCACTTTTGTTATTGAGAAATATATAAAATCTTTATAATAATATTATAGTATAAGGTATTTCTCCCGCCTTCGTAGTGTGGTGGTCTGCACACTGGGCGCGTATTCCAGAGGTCCACGGTTCGATTCCAAGCGAGGTATTGCTTATTTTTCAAGTCTCCTGCTTCCAAAAAATACCTTATGTTTCTACAGTGAAGCCCGACTAAAAGGGTGGTTGATGATGATTCTCCACATCCAGGATTTGGTGATTAGGTCTCCTAAAAAACTCCACTCACCCTTTAAAAGGAGTATATATGGTATTTCTCCCACCTTCTTAGCATGCCTTTGTAGTGTGGTGGTCTGCATGCTGGGTGCATATTCAGAGCTCCGTAGTTCGATTCCCAGTGAAGGCATTGCTCATTTTTCAATTCTCCTGCTTCCAAAAAATACCTAATGTCTCTACGATACATTTAAGGGTCTTGTTGCTTTGCCTATAACTTATACAACACAATCAAATCTTTGGATGACTGTAGAGCTACTTGAAAAACGTTTTTCCCAACATTTTGTACATAGTTGTTAAAACAAATTCTGAAATGCTTGGCCATTTAAAGGACATTAAAGCCGTTCTGAATATGGTCAATTGTAGGGCATTATGGCTTCTAAATTGTGAAACATTACTGGGTCATATCTTCCACCTAAAGTAATAGTTTTGATCTAACTTGAGGTGTTGTTTAAGGCTTTAAATGCAACTGCAGGATTTCATTTATGCAAAATTTATTAAATTCTAAATGCAGCATTAATAACTTTCAAACTCAGTTCAATTAAAAAAGATGCAATTTGCCTGGCTTACAAAGATTAAACAGTAAAATGTCATTAAATGCATAGTGAAAATTATGGCCAAATGCCCTGAATCAAAATTAAATCAATGAAGGTAAAAAAAAGTGAGGATTTAATGATTGAACATTCTAAGTTACTGAGGAGAAGTGAAAATCTTTTCTTTGAATAATTAATTAATAATACTGAATGAAATTACTGAATATATTGAAAGTGATAAAAATTACCCAAAAGCTGGGTGAAACATCAAAATTCAAAGCTGGCTGAACCTGTAGCTATCAAAGGAATGGAAAATGATGAAGAAAATTCAACCACGTCTATTTGGTAAAAGATTGGGGAGATGTTATATATATTTCTAAAATTCATTAAAAAAATACATAATTATAATAGAGAAATAATGAAAATTAGCATTCTATAGAAAAAATTTTTAAGAAAAAGAGTGAGATTTAATCCAAATTGCAGAAACTTGTTATTTTGCTTATAATCCCAGGGTATAATGGCAATCATCTGCTTGGACATTAGAAGGTTCACTGCAGCCACAAAAACTTATATTTCATATATCTTGAGTAAAGACCATGTTAATGACTTTGTTTGACTGCAAAGGGATAATAGGAATTTATTACTTCTGAGGATAGAGGGTGAATTCCACGTTTCATAAAAATATAGCAGAATGATAAACATCTCATTCAGTAACACCCCAATGAATGAACCACAAGATAACATGAAGGAAAGCATTATATATGAATTTAGTCAGGTATTCAGGTATCTTGCCCCCAGTGCTTACTTCCATAGGCATCTCAGCACTTTGTTCTTAAAGACACAGACACATATAAAAGTTTTGTTATTGGTGACAAATATCAGAATAAAATTTCCTTATTGTTATATTTGTTTTGTTACCAATGTGTTTATACAAACATAACCATTCAAAGAATATAATATTTCTAAAAATATCTATTCTTAAAAAGTAATTGCATGAACATAGTCCATTCCAAGGCTTTTTTTAAAAAACCAATCAAATTCCTTTCATGGTATAACATTTGTTTGTTGTAAAAGTTTAACAGTATAATCAAATGCACGAAGAAAAATGGGCATAATATAATTGGGAAAATTAGGTTTATATCATGCTATGATAATTTGGCATATATTTTTCATGTATAAGCTGAGAATTTTCAGAAAATGTTTTATTGCTGAAGTTTGAGAGTTGGTTTAAGTACAAGTTCAAAATGATTTACATATCATTCAATCGTAAAAACAATACACTCAAAAGTCGTTAATCCGGACACCCATAATCCGGAATGATCTATAATCCGGATCTCAAAGCTACAAACATTTTGTGCATGCGTCAACGCATAATGCGTTCACGCATGCGCATAGGCGTTTACGCATGTGCGTAATACTTTTGCGCATGCACATAATATGTTTACACACGCGTTTAATGTATAACGGACGGTATAAGCTAATCTAAAATGATCTAAATATCTATTTCAGTTAATGTAGCAGATTGCGTTGTTCCTTAACCTATAAATTGGATCTGGCTTATTATTTTTTACAGACCTCTACGGCTGCGAATTTGCGTGTGCGCGTGCGCAAAATACGTTTACGAATGCGCGTTATGGCGGCATAAGCTAAGCTAAAATTTTCTAATTATCTATTTCAGTTAATGTTGCAGATTGTGTTGTTCCTTAATCTTCGAATTGGATCCAGCTTATTATTTTTTGCAGACTGTTAGAGCAATTTTATAAAATTAAGCTTGAACTTTCGATTATGTCAAATAGAATTTCCGATTTATATTTACTAATATGTAACAGATCTACAAAGCGAAAGTATGTTTCGGAGTCCATTAAACAAAAAGTGGAATTGCTGCAAAAAATGGAAAAAGGCATATCCTTTGTTTATCTAAACTTTAACGTTTGTTTATCTTTAACGCTGTGGCTGGCGCGCAATGAATTGGAAGTTGATCTGTCAGCACTATCCTTATCTTCAGGGCAGATGTTTTTATTTTATTTGGCTTATAATTGCTTACTAAATGTAGTATTTCATTTCGATGTACTCTGTCTTTGATATGATTAAAATCAAATGCCTCGTCATTATAATTCGCTTCCGATAGCGAAGAAAGTAACAGAGGTTATTGAAAACGAAAAAAATTCGATTGACAAATTAGTCGGTATTCTCGACACAGCAATTATAGGACTTCAACAGCGGAACTTTGTAACTGAACAAGAAATTATGTCTGTTTATAGAATTAAAGAGAATGTATTAGCACATAAAAAATGAAACAACTTACATTGAAAGAAATGTTTGATAAAGTAAACAAATAAATATTAAGCTTTTTCTTTTGTAAATTTTGATACACTTTAGATCATAATTGTTCTTTATTTCGTAAATTACGGTTTCATATTTTTAATTTTATCATTTCTGCATGCCATTTTACCAGATTTAAACTGATGATCTATAATCCGGAATCGCTGAAGTCCTGACGAGTCCGGATTAACGACTTTTGACTGTATAAACATAATCTTTTTAATGTAAGCCTATATTCAGTAATGAACAGATAACTCAATCTGGGAAAAAAAAATATATATATATAATGCACACAAGATAGATTTGTTAGATCTCCACAATACACAGAAATCTACTCTTCCACTATTTAGATAAGTTTAAATTGACTAATATGATTAACGCAAATCCACAAAAAATATACTATGTCTGTGAGAACAGTTAATATCCTCTACTGCAAGTAGAAAGTAAAAATCTAAAGTTAATATGCAAGCATAAAGTAAGGCTTATGTTTATAAACTTATAATAACTATACTGGTTATCATAAATTAAGGAAAAATCACAAAAATAGCAATAACTCCCTCAAAAATAAGGCAAACTGTGTAAAATTTGAATATGTTGCCAAGTAAGAGTAGCTGAGTAAAACTCCAAAATGCAAATTAGTGGCGCTGTACTTGGAATACGTCATCTGTGAGGAGCATAAAAGTCCACGTTTGACAGCAAGTCCACATATTTCACTGTGATAGTGACATCAGAAATCTGAGATAGCCAATTCGTAACAATGATCTCCAAGCATCATTTGCCTGCAGAACTACGACAGAAAGCCATTGGGAAACTAGAGGCAGGCCAAAGTCAAACAGAAGTAGCCAGATGGGCTAAATGTGAGTCCTTCTGTGGTTCATAGACTTCATAGACATATGGAGAGGACAGCTCGATCCCCGGACTTGAATCCTATCGAGCACTTTTGGGATGCTTTAGGGAGACGTCTAGCTGCTCCCAATCCATCCCCTTAGACCCTTGCCGCGCTTGCAACTGCTTTGCAAGAGCAATGGCTCTCGCTTCCTATGGAACTGATAGACCGCATAATTGAAAGCATCACACATCGCTGAATGTGCTGTATTGCTTCTAGAGGCAATTATATTCCATATTGAAGGTACTTTTACTATAACAAACTGACATCTTTGATTTGTTCATTTTATACATGTGCTAATTTCTATACTACCATAATTGTCTGGTAATTTCTTTTTATATTATTTGACACCTTACTATGTGTTGTATATTGTGGGTAAGTTTCATAAAATTCTACATGTAACTTTTTCTGTAATCGTGATTTTTCCTTAATTTATGATAACCAGTGTACATAACATCACATTCTATAAATATAAAATAAAGTCAGCAGTAATTTCATTTTTATGTTTCATTTATGTTCTGACAAAATAATTTTTATAAATAATTAAAAATTATAATTCTGACAAAAACACAAACCAAAAATATATTATTTTCAATGTACACTAATGAATTCAGCAGATACTTACAGAAATCCAGCACATATAAATCAGAATGATCAATTAATTTTTGGAAACCTTCACTTATATCTAAAAAGATTGATTCATCACTGGGAGGACTTCAGTTAAAAAGAAAGAAAAGAAAAATATAAAAGTACATATAAACAAAACACTGAAAATATAATTTAAAGCAATATTTCTACTACTGATTATACCATCACTATGTAATTGATAATTTAAATTTTCAATTTATTGGAATATTCACATTTATATTAATTATTACACTCAAATTTACAGTTATTTTGGCACTATTCTTAATTGCTAGAATTCTATGCTTCATGAACTTGCAAATATTTTCTGAATCGTTGTGAATAATTCAACCAGTTTTTCAAAATCCTTTGATTCAGCTTTGGAAAATTAAAAATAAATAAATAAATAAATAAATAAATAAATAAACCACTAAAAAACACAAAGCTAAGTATTCACTATAAATTAACAAACAAAAAGAATACTTTATGAAATGTTTTCCAATAACTGAATTGTTTACTTCATAAACTATCAAATAACAGTCTAAAAATTGTTTCTTGTCTAGTTATAGCCATTTTCTAACACAAACAGCATATGTTACTGGCATTCTCAATTTCAATAAAAACCTGCCAAACCAAAAAAAAAAAAAAAAAGTGTGCAGATGACCTTCATAAGTAATGTATCTGCAAAAGCCTGATATGAACCTCTAAAAAATAAGTAAGAAAATTTCCATTTAAAGTTCTAATTTACCTGCATGTTACTCAAATCAAAAGTAATTTATGATTGTTAGAGTATATTGCAGCTAAACCATAACATATGAGTACTCAAATAAAAAGTCTGGGGTTCAAATTTTATAACATGTATTATTTTAAGTTTGTTCATTTTGCATAAAAATATGACAGGAAAAAACTAAGAATACTTGACTCCCTTTTTCTTTTTTAAGTTTATCTCTTGATGCCAACTTTGTAAAACATAGTTTAGTTTTATAGCAGGGAAAAAAATAAAGAGTATTAATGAATATATTACTTCAAAAAAGAATGCAATGAGGATATGAAGATTTATTCTTTAATAAATCCTGATTAAGTAAATCCCCTTCTTCAGGAAGATTAAACATACATAGCTCACTCACATCAGGATTAGTAGCAGAAGTGGACTGGATTACAAACTTCTGTAATTCTTTTGTGAAGGGACTACATTGCTTGGAATTACAGCAAACCATTCTAAGGTTGCTTAGGATGCTTTCGTATACACCATTTAAAAAAAACTGGGTCATATTCAAACTATACACGAGGAAAATATTTAAAAAATGCCTGGTTATTCTTTGGATTATGGTAACTTGGCGATTTTTTGGCGAAAATTTGGTGACCAACCCTGCTACAGCAACCTGCTAGTTTTTGTTTGGACGCCATTTTGTTTTCACAAAGTAAAAGCTTCTTTTTTTTTTTTTTTTTTTTTCCCCCTCAACATTTCCAACATTTTTATCCAACAATCTGCTAGCCGAATTACGCTTATGCTACAACTTTTATGGAACAAAAGTGCTTAATCATGACGAAGATTAGGTGCGAAATTGGGACAGTGCAGAATCGCCCACTGCTTGCCGCGTTTTTACGAATTGCACATACACGGTATCATCCATGTACACGTCGACCTATTTTCACTTAAAAAAACATCCCAGAATTGCACAAAAATGGCATTGCGCACACTCTTGACTATATCCATGTACACTGCTAAAGTCCTAGCTAGTAACCTTTATCGCCTTACCAAAATGTCACCAAACTACCTGTTACCATATTCCAAAGATTAGGCAAATGTCCATGCACATAACTTGTTTGCCATGATTAACAGCAGATAGATGTTTATGGATTTTAAATCAAAATCATCCAAAGAGATATTTAAACAAGTTGAATGTATTCATTCTTAGATTAGATGCCATTCCTACTATTCTTTGAAATTCTGTTAAAGTGTCAATATAAATCTTATATAGACATTTCACTATTTTATTATTAATCAAATATGAGCAAGATGATTATGATAGCTAAATTTTTTTAAGTTTATTATTTAGTATATTTATCCCTTTAATGGCTGCAATATTAAAGGATTCTTTTTTCCCAAATATATGCAATATCCATCAGTTATAAACTTGTAATGTGAACTGTGTTTGCTCGCACCCACTGCAACAATTATTAATGATTACTGCATATATTATTAATGATTCCTTTAAATAAGCATGGAAGTTAATCCTTTTAATACAAAATACAACAAAATACATGGTATCAACTTTCTTTTAAGGTTTTCTAATCAGTCTGATGAAATACGAGGACGTTCAATTCACTTAAATTTCAATTTTGTTTGGAAACCCAATTTCATCATAACTTAAAATGAGCTATTAAAAATCCATGCATAAAAAAATTATATATATTAATAAGAACAGCCAGTTTGTGTTTTGATGCAGGCATGAAGTGTTTTACAGATAGCATTTTTGAAAAAGATTGCAAAATTTATCAATATGATGTTTTCATGCTATTGATTGCTTATCACAAATGCAGCCTTCTGAAACGGCATTGCTTGAAAATATTTGCCAGGCTAACTAAAGCTCACACTTATAATCTCTTTTAGGAGGATTTTGATAAATCACAGAATTATCCCCAGACATTGGTCAGCGGCATCTGTGATTTTCCTGCCAACACATCAACAGAAAGATAATCTCAACTGGGTTTTGATCTTTAGTGGTGCAGCAGTTCCTTTCAACGATGGATACAAAAAAAGATATGGATTCAAATGACAGGACTGATAATTTAAGACATGACGTGGATTTACTTGAAGCCGAATTTAATGACATCAATTCAGAAAAACTCGGTAATATCATTAATGGAATATATATATATATATGATTGGTGCAATAAATTGCAAAGAAAGAAGAAGGTGTACAACTAATCTTATAGCAGTCCCATATATAAAATTTCAACCTTCTATGACTACTCGTTTTTGAGTTTCGTAACATCAGTACATATGAAAAAAATCTTTTCTAAATCCATTTTAAATTCATTTCACAATCCGTTTTCGAAAAAAGAGTCTTTTATTCTGTTTGTACATATAGATATCATACAAAAATATCATTCAAAGGGATTCAAGCGTGGTTAAAATGTAAATTTTCCTTGAAATATGATACCCACAATTTTTCGCAATTACTATACTTCCTTTACTTCATACAAGGAAGTAAAAAAACATAGCTAAATTTCAGCTATGTGTGTGTGTAAAGAATTTATTATAATAAGGAATTTTTTATCGAAAAGATTATCCTACTCTATAAAATATTGTTTAGGATAATAATTTAAACTATTGTTAACTGGAGAAATTTTTTTTAAAAGGGGAATTAAAGTTAGAACATTACACTTATGGGAGAAACAAACTAAAAACTATTAATTACCTTCAGTTTAATGTTTCAAATACAATTTTCAAAAGCTAGTAAACACTAAAGCCTGATGATCAATGAATGCCAAACACATGTTTTATTCTTCATGCCACTATCAGTTTTAAATTGTTGCTAATTGTCCATAACTGCAAATTAAAATTTCTAAAAATCTCATATTAACAAGAACTATTCTTACATGCACTTGGGACTCTACTAGTTTAAAACAAACAATAAAGTAAATCTATACTCAAATTAAATGCAACATGTATTCTTCCCTAAATAGGAAATTCAAGGAAGAAGAAAAGCAAATTTAATAAATACTAACCTGCTGCCCCCAAATAAAAATAATCGGTTTCCAACAACGCACGAACAGTGCCGCCTGCGAGGACAAGGTCCATCACCTTTAGCATGCATTTCAATCCAAGCATTCTTTTCTAATAAAAGATATAATTAAATGCAGAATATAAATGATTACAGTTCATGAAGTGTGAATCAGTTAGAACTGTAAATAAACTTCAGCTCCTTATCAAAATATTAAATGTGAAATACTAAACAAATTTAAATACCTTTAATTGGTAAATGGTGAAAAGTTGTAGTAAAATACTTTTGGCAGATTTTTTTATTACAGAAGGAGAAGATATATTTTTCCCCAATGCACAATGCCTCTTACTTGCTCAGAGAATAAAAGCCATCATTGTCCTGTGTGTTGATCCTCGTTTAGAATTATTCCACATACAGCAGAATTTTTAAATTGGAATTAAATTACTTACAGATAATTATTGCTTAATTTTCTTTAAACTTCATATCTGTAATTTTGTTTTCCTGTGGATAATATTTGTTTTCATATGTATAGTTATAATTTTAGTATTTCACATATTTCATTGATGTAATATTCTTTATATTATTACACATTTAGAATTAATGTATTAAATACTTAACTTCAAATACTGAGGTCATTATATTAAAATGCTGATTTTATCTGAATTTTTTTGTAAGATTAGGCTTAACTGCTGAAAATATGCGGGCTCATGGCAACACTCCATTTCGGGGGGTCCCATGACTGCGCTTCATTCTCCATGTTCTGGTCCTCGAGGGGATAAGAGCTAATGTAAACACATGTTGCTTCTGAGCAATCATGCCAAATAAAGGGATATGTAAAGTTCTAAACAAAACAAATGTAGAGAAATAACATATAAAAATTCACTTTTCATTTGAAAAAAATTACATGTGCATAAAAAACAACCACTGAGTAATGCATGACCCTGTAACTGTCTAATGCTTATCTGCTTTCAAGACAATTGTACAAACTATATTTATGTGGTATTTAAATACAGAATTTATTTTGCTCTGGGAAAAAAATTCAACACACAGACTTTAGCATAATGTTGAAGGATGTTATGGATCTCATAGGCAAAAATAATTATAAACAAAATAAAAATCAATAGGCTTTATTTTCTACTTTAGTCATTATTTTATATATAATAAACAACTAGGTTATGGCTATTTATATTTTAAATAAAGAATATCAACAGGGTTCATTCAATACTTTCATATAGGATATCACTTCATAAAAAAAATCTACTATAAACACAGTTTTCCAGAATACATATAGCAACAATTACTGCAACAAGTTGTAAGCCAAAATTACCCATTTAAAAAATTAAAGCATTGCTCAATTGAAAATAAAATTCCTGTATAACATTATAAGCAGTACAAAAACAGGAACTGAACATAAATATGTAAAAAATATCTCCCACATCGGTAATATCTTTCTGAAATTCTCCTCCTGAAAAAATGGCCCTCTTTCTTGAGTATACAGCTTATTAAGAGTAATTATGTCGACATAGTGTTCTGTTAATGCAGTTTATCTATTATGCTTTTATAATTCCATCACTTACATCCAGATCCATTCTGAACAATACACGAACAGAGGTAATATTCTCTCTTATGTTTCAGAATTTCAAAATATTTATATAGATAATAATACTAACATTAAAAACAGCACCATGTAATTGTTAAGTGCTATGCAACATCTACAAAGCACCAATCATAGATGTTATAGATGCTGATATGCAGATGTATTCCAGTGAGATCAGAACAACTCAAAATGGACATTTTAGTAAAGCACAATAACTAAGGTTAAATCAGCATAACAAATGATAGGAAAAATCATCACCAATAAATGCATGAAAATATATCTTGCAAGAGAAGGTTGTTCAAATATCAACATGTTATTCCAAAAAAGAATTGAAAGCTATTAATATATAATTAAATGAATTTTTTCAGTGATGACCATAAAAACCATTACAATTAAAACTCCATATAAGAAACCAGGGACAACTGGATTATTATATTTTGGATACCTAATGCAATCTTTTGATTCTTTGTATCAATAGAAATTTTGGTACTATTCCGTTTTGAGGACCGTAAAAAAATTGCAGCGAAAATGTATGCACAAAAGTGCCAAATCTAGCAAATGTGGCCATTTAACAGCGCGCCAAATCTAGCACACACGCTGATTTCAGATTGCGTAAGTTTATATAGTTCTATGTTTCTCAAGAGGCCATTGAAATACTAGTTTAATTTTAAATCCTTTTTTGATATCGTATGGATTTTACAATTTGGGAATTGCCCATGACGAAAAGTCTGCAATAGAATTTTTGGTAAAGTGCAGAATCACCCACTGCTTGACGCATTTTTAAGAATTGCACATACTCGGTATACATGGATACATCGACCTATTTTCACTTAAAAAAAAAAAATATCCCAGAATTGCACAAAAATGGCACTGCACACACCCTTGACTTTATTTATGTACACCTCGACCTATTTTCCCTTAAAATGTAAAAGAAAATTGACAAAAATCCAATTGTTTTACCCTTGTAAAAAGCGGCAAACAAATAAGTGGGCAATTCTGCACTTTGCCGAGAATTTTTTCAAAGAAAAGGCATAATTCCTTATAGAAAATTATGTTTGAACAACAAACGAGATGAAACTATGCTTTAGCGATAACTTGGTAGTGAAATAGCGATGCAGGCATCCATTCAGTTATGTTTAGCAATTTTTATATAAATTATAATAATGATCTGAAATAATTATTTACTCTTATGCTTCCATTCAGTCATGTTTAGCCTTTTTTATATAAATTATAATAATAAAAAAGTATTATATGAAATTAGCCTTTATCTAAATTAAAACATCAATCTTAGATAGTTATTTACTATTATACTTCCTTTCTTGCGTTAGGGTTGCCGCAATTATTTTTGGCAGCACTGGCATCAACAATAGTTAGCAATTTTATACAGCCCTCAAAACCGAATAGTACCAAAATTTTTATCTATAATAATAAAAGCAAGTGTAATGTGTCTGTCTCTCTGTCTGTCTGTCTGACCGAGCTCTCCAGCCAAATCTATCGCACGCAGGGACCTGGAATTTTTTATACGGAAGCACAAAGGGGCTGGCCACCAGACCTCGAAGCCCGATTTTCAATTTTTGAATTAGAAAAATTTTTAAAAAATTATTTATAATTAATTAATCACGGTTTTTTTGACTCACTGATATTATTATTTGTTTTCAAATAACGTTCGATTGTAACAATTGATTTCTTTATTCTAGTGTTAGTTTGCTGTTTTGACGATACATTAAATCGATTAATTACAATTCATTTCTTTTTTGTAGCTTGTGGGGGGGGGAAGAGAGAGAGACAGTCTACATGTCCTACACTACTATTCCTGCATTTTCACATTTATCTGCATTTTCTAAATGCACGGGCAACGCCGGGCGGGTACAGCTAGTATCCAATAATGTCAAAATAAGAACAGCCAACAGATTACACAAGAAAAGAAAGAAGTCATGAGATGGATTACCATTCTGTTTTATGCCAGTGAAACTTGTTTTTGTGAATAAATCACACAAACAAGGATTCACTGTAAACAATGCTGCCTACAAGCAAAAATAGCACATGTAGCCACTAAGGATAACACATTTTTTAGGTTATCAATGAAGCTGTTCTCACATATAATCATTAAATAAAGGTATATTTGCTTTCAATTATTAATATGCTTCATTTATACACAGCATCAACTCTGCTAATTGCCCAGGAGGTTAAAAATGTTGGAGACAGGCCTGAATGAAATTTTAGCAGTAGTATGCTTTACTGAATATGAACGATTTTGCAGTTCTGTAATGACCTGACCTACCATACTCAACTGATATTACTGGAAGGAATACTGGATGCTACATGTTATCTTTCAGTCACCAGGATTACATCTAATACGCTTTTTTTTGCAATGCATGCAATCTTCCCATACACCGAAAATGTACAACACAGGGCTTACAAAAGTAAGTTAAATAAACATTAAATATTACGTGTATAAATAAAACGATCAAAAACAGAGAACAGCAGTCTGGACTTCACGAAAAGAGATAAATTCTCTGGCCAAATCAAGCTGATCATTTTCAAATCATTCTGCACGTATAATCTAGGGCCATCAAAGGCAGGAAAAGTCAAATGTTTTAGCAGAATAATGCTACCATTTAGCAAATGAGATCATCCAGTACTTTGTGTCAATGAGTCAGACACTGGTGACTATCTTTTATGTCCATCCTAACTTACAAGTATAAATGTTAATATGAGAAGTAGGTACTTTTTTGCCGGCACAAATTTCGCCAAGCAGACTTTATTGGCAACAACATACAGTACACACATAAAAGTGTTAACAAATGTTAGTTCTACGATTTTTTTTTTTTATTTTGAAGGCACAAACATTTTAACATCATTTAAAATTTTGTAAAAGAACCAGTAAATAAAGACAATAAATTTGTAAAAAGACAAGAATTTACTATGCTTTCATGGCTCGACATACTGATTCGCCGGTTCATATCACGTGAGCCCAAGTGATCTCAGCTCACGTAAACTACGCTACAAAAATCTAATTCTCTCAATAATTATCTAGATTAATTTCAAGTTGAATCTTAATTTGGAATACAAGTTTAAATGCAAGAATTATTTCAATTTGTACGAATAGCATATTCAGAAATTGTGTAAAACTGCAGTACTTTACTTCGTTAGTGCATTCTCATTAGAACTGATGAGTTGACTTTGCTTTTTTGCCCTTGACTTTGCTTTTCTATATTTTCGCCTTCGGGTGAGCAGTGTGATTGCATCCTAATTGACTTAATTACCGTGAATGGCTTTAGGGCATAAAATTGAACTATCTAGTAAAAATTCTATGTAATTGTAGGCCAGCATTGAAAAAAACAATCAATCTGGTAAAAAAACGGCTGTGACTTGTTTTGAAAATATGGCGTAAAAGGTTACCAGCGAGGATATTCTGTTTGGCATCAGCTGTACCATTATTGGCGACTTGATCGCCTGCACCGGCAAAATGGAAAAGTACCGAGAAGTATCCTCTTTTCTATGACCATCTCAAATGATAAATGTTAATCTCATAAGGTATAATTTTTCTCACTTTCACGGATCGAAAGCATGTTGATCCAATTTCTATCAGACGAATAATATATAATTCCTAATTAGTTCTCAGGAATGATAGGTTTATCTTCTAAGAAGACAGTCAGTAATAGATACTCCTACTTAACCAATGTCATATTGATAAAATAATCATGCTTTTGTGCCCATTATATGTGCATGGTATTAGTAACTTTAACTGATCAAGAAAAGATAGCTTTATTGCCAGATAATACTGAAACACAAATTATAAATAACAATTTGCTATTCCATAAATTTTCAATGAAAATCTCTATTTTCAAGAAAAACTTTGTACTTACTGTATAACATTGTACTTACCAGGACTGAATTTATAAATGTCATTATGATGTTCCTGGGTAAGAGCATTATAACCACCAATGATGTATAATTCATTTTCATATACAGCTGTAAATTAAAAAAGGAAAAATAATCAAATGGAGAAAACTATCCAATGAATAGCAATTGATGTTTTTAATATTTATGACTAAAAATGGATAAAAACACATATTTTTTCAATAACTCATAATTTTATATAACTCGTATCAAAAAATAAATTATACATCATTATAATGCTCTTTCTGGTTAAGAGCATTATAAACACCAATGATGTATAATTCATTTTCATACATAGCTGTAAATTAGAAAAGGGAAAATAATCAAATGGGGAAAAACTATCCAATGAATAGCAATTGATGTTTTTAATATTTATGACCAAAAATGGATAAAACCACACATTTTGAAATAACTCACATAATAAAATAAGACAGCAATAATTTAACATAATTAAAACCTCAAACTCTTTTAAACTAAATCACTTTTGTAAAACATTTACAAACATATCATAGATAGTTTAAGCATTTTTCAATTTTTAACTGGCAAAGAAATTACAGAAACTATAACAAAAAGATGTTTACGTATGCTAAATCTACTGAATGAGGTTAAATGAAAGATAGTTGGCAGCTCCAGATCAACATTATCTTGTAATCCAGTGGGATTCACCTTCACACACAGAAATACACACATTTTTTACCTTTTCTTTTCATACATGCGAAAGAGTGAAAAGAGGTGCTTTAGATTCTAGTTTTAAGAACTGTGTGAACAGCTGGATAAAATTTTCACAAGTGGAAGATGGAACATGTTGCTTAGAAGGCATCTGACAGATTGTGAGAAATGGCATGAAAATATGGAAATGGAAGCAGGACAGACACTATCACAGGTCTATAATGACCTAAAAGTAGCCAAAAGCATATGCCAGGAAACTGAAAATACTTTAAAGAAACTTCTGATGTATGCAGACAACCAGATAAAGGTTGAAAATGAACCACAACAAATTCTCAGAATTGTTATTAGAGATGCTGAAGCAACAAGTGTAGGTTGCCTAAATTTGTAGAACTAATTTCGAAGGCTTGAACAGAACTTTCTTCTTCAGCTGCAGTCTTTGAAATTTTGCATTAAAGAGCATAAGCCATCTGTTAAGAAAAACAAAATACATAAACCTTTAACTGATGGTTAATAAATCTCACCTTCCATTTTCCTGAAGCAAAATTATTCAAAAAACATTGCCTGTTTGCGAATTAGATTTCATATTCATAAAAATCTTTCAGTTTTTGTTATTGATCCCAATTCTAATCTACCTTTGGCTTTTAAGTAAATTGTGTCATTTTTAACTTTTTGTTAACAGATGGTATCAGTCTCTTTATTTCTTTCCTTAAGTGAAGCTTTCTTGAATTTCCTGGTCTTTGTTTTCGCATGAGCACAGGCTTGCTTCTCTGCCATTTTCACTCTTGCAGCTGAAGAAGTATGTTCTATTCAAACCTTTGAAACTAGTCTTAGAAATTTTTGCAACCTAACTTTCACAGGTTATTTTGGATAATCTCAGTTATTATTTGGCAACAATTTCTAAAAGAAATAAACAACTGATATCAGCTGATATCGCAAGGGAATCGCTGCAGTTATAAGAACTTGACTATTCAGATATACCATGAGTGACATGGTTCATAAAAGAGGGCTGTATGTAAGGAAATTCATGATTTCCACTCCATTAACTCCATTAAAATGTTGCACGGTTTCAGAAGAGCAGAGGTCACTGTGATTGGAGACCACAGCCTGGAGTTGAAATCAGTTTGCTGATGAATCTTGTTTTTGTTTGAAAAGTGATTTCAGACATGTTACAATTTAGAGAGAGTAAAACTTGTGCAATCGGTCTGTAAACATTCACGAAAGACACTGACAGAAAGATGGCAGAATTATGATACAGGTGGGACTCATTGTGAATGGATGCACAGGCTTACATATTTTTACCAGTGCAACTATGAATGCTAAAATATACGGATATGAGATTTTTTATCCTTATATTAGGTTGTTTAGGAGTACAATCTGTAAGAACTTTCTCCTAATACAGAATAATGTTCTTTCTTATCATACTGCACTAGTGGCCAATTATCTTAAGAGCAAATGGATCCAGAAGACAGAGAGGCCCACATACTTTCTGGATTTAAATCTGACTAACATCACTGCGCTCCTCCCCCCAAATCACACTCTGCAGCAGCTTCAAGGCACTACCACCATCATAAATGCACTTTGTTAACATAGGAACTCCTGATCAATGTACAACAAAGCATGGTAAATTGCTAAAAACTTGCACTTTGGTCAGAGGTGACCGTGCATCCTATCATTTCTTTCTATGTACATATCTAAAAAGGTGTAATATCGATTTTTCCCTACCCAAGACCTACATCACGCTGCCCATGTTCTTATTTATTTATTTATTTTATTTTTTCAGAACTAGGCAATTTTGCATTTTGAATACATGTCAAGCATAGTGAAATGAAGACTTTTTAAGTGTTCCCTGTTCATAGCTGCAAAATCATTAAAGTTAGGCGAGTTTTTACAGTTGTTCTTTTCATTTTTTCCATCAAAATCTCAAAGATCATACAGAAAAATTTTCATCAATGGTTAATTTTTTAGAATAATTAGAAGAATGGATGGTAATCTAATCTAAATTTTTTTGTAAGTTAAAATTCTTTTTTTTTTTTTTTTTTTTTTTTTTTTTTTGAGAGAGAGATTCAGCTTCATTAAAAATCTCCCTTCAAAAGTTAAATATGTTTGTTTTTTACTGTGCTGCTGACAAAAGTAATATTTAAAGTTAGAAAATCTGAAAATATACAAAAAGCAAAGTGAAACTAATTTAAAACCACGCGAAAGTGAAAAAAACCCAATAAACGCTAAGCTGTGTAAGCAAAAATGCGAGGAATAGTTTTTTAGTATAATTTTGAAATGCTCCCCAACTGACTACTTTTGAATATGAAGCAGGAAATTCCTTTGCAGTGACAGAACAAGTGTTCAGTTAATCAAGTTCATCATTTTCTTTGATTGTGTTGAAACTTCTAAAACAGAGCAAATTCTCTTTAAGGCAATCACCCACAGAGAGACATGGTTTGGATCTTCTCTGGATATGACTGTCTCAGAAAGATGATGCTCAATACTAATACTTTTTAAGATATACTGATCCCTTTCAGATATGGTCTTCTCAAGGAGGTAATCGCCACTGTGTTTTTAGACATAGTATAGAAAATTTTGATATTATATGATAAAAATGCATCAAATTGGAGTTTTACTAGTTAAAAGTACTGCAAAAACTTATACTGAATTCTAGAGCAGATTACTGAACCTTACTGTGTTATATCATGCGAGATGAGGGAAAATAAAAAATGTAGAAATATATATAAAAAAAAAAAAGGTTTCATTGTAATTCATGTATGTCAAACTCGAAGCCACTGACTCATTTTTTTGTGGCCTTTAGTTCACCCCAGAAAATAACAGATAATGTACAGTTATAATATATTAATAAAAATTGGAATTCCAACAAAAATTGAGGCATATATATAACATTAAATGCTAAGAAGGATAGTCTTTTTACAAAAATATTTTATCAACCAGCCCTGAGAATGTGCCAACTAATTTACAAATGGAATCAATGGAATTTCTGTACAACTAAAACAAAAATTCAGTGAAGTGGGTATCTACGAATTTTGCAAGTACTTTTGCATTATGCATATGTTCAATATTAAGTATCAGTATGAACAACTTTCCTTCCTTATGGAAGGGACCAAGTCCCCAGCAAATTCAGGTTCACAGACATACAGACTTCTGTATGTATTCTTATTCTATTTTCGGACTTCTGTTCTGAAAATCAATAATATGAGCAGTATATCTCCAGACACTTGAAAGCTGGCTGCAAGAAAAAAGATCCCAAGTGTTGGTAATGAAACAATATTAATTCAGTTACCAGAATTTCTCATGTTTCTTCCATTTCTTACAGAACTACAATATGTATTAGATAAGATTTCATACACTTTTTAAATTCTTAGTTAAATATGAAAATGGTTTTTGCTTTCCTTGCAGCCTGCATTGTTGTACCCTCATGACTATTTGGCCTACTTGAAATACTGAATTTGACATGCCAGCGGTAATTACATAAAACTAAAAAGCAATCTTTGCACAAGACTTGTGAAAGCTCCTGTTTAAGAATAACGAATTAAATAAAATTATTGCAATAGTATAATATATCAGTAAACTTTATCACAAAATTTGATTTTGTGATCATTTGGCTTCTTTGGTTTTAATTACAATTAAATTTTCACACTGTTGATCGCCAGGTTAATTTGAAAAACCAAACAATATTTATGCTTTGGAACTTTTGACAAATCTCAACACCTTTTATAAAAAAAGATCTTGTTCTATCATTATTATAATTAATCTCTACAAAAAGTTAAAATCTTACCAGCTGAATGACTTCTCCTGCCACACGGTGGGATACCATAAACTTCTGGAGTCACCCATTTCATTGACTGAGTATTTAAATATACAATCTTATTGCAATAAAATTCGGGTTCAATCTGGCCATTCAACATGTTTTCTGAGCTTCTGCCTCCAAATATATATATACAATTTCCAATAGCCGAAGCAGTATGGAAATCACGGCTCGACGGAGGATCACCCTAAAATGGTACATTTAAGATCAACTAGATAAAACTTTGAAAAAATTATAGCTTGTAAAAATTCTAATATGCAAAGCCTATATTAAAATTACAAAATAAAGCCAATAAGAGCTACCGTTCAGTTCATTCTCTTATTTCTAGCAAATTAATAAAGATTAGAACTACTTTTCATCATGAATATTTTTATGTTTCTGCTGTATATAAGTTGTGCACATGCAATGCCTTTATATAGTAAAATAATTTTATAAATTTTTGTTAAATTCTTCATTTATACTCTGTGCATTTTGTAACAATCTACACTTCTCTCCTCCCACAATATTTTAATTTTTTAATAAGAAGAGTGTGTATCAGGTTCTTACAAAATATATACAGTATTCCTCTAAAATACATGGCTGCCTATTAAAACTGCAGCACCATGAAGGAACATACAATAAATCTGAAATTTGCATGAAAGGTATAATATGCTGGGCTACTCAAATAATTAGCATTTCCCAGCATGCACACAGTACAGACAAAAGTAATGACACCTTGAAATAGCATTAAAAAGGCAGACTAAAATGCTAAATTATTAATCAAAAACCTCCTTTATTTGTTTTGTGTAGGAGATTACCTTGTGTTAGAAGAAGGAACTCCTACCAGTACATCTCAGAATTCAATCAGGGAAGAATTGCACTCTACTGCGTCTGTGAATTATCACATAACACAACTCCTTTTATGTTGTTTGAGATCCAATGATTGATACAAGCATTTGTAAGTGATGGATCCTGGAGAGCCGCACAAAATGAAGGACAGGTTTTCAACAGCTCCTACTTAGCAATGCCGAGACAATAAACATCTTGTCTGTATTACTGTTAGACATCAAACAGCCATATCACATGTGGTCGAGAAAATGATATGCTGCACAACACCAAATATTCACATACTTCAGCAACATTAACAATACACGGACTTTAGTGACTACTACTTAATGAAAGAGATAACAGACATTTCATCTATATAATTATTAGGCATCACAAAACTATGTCACAGATAGTCAGGAAAGTGGATGCATTGCACTATGCTAAGCATTCACATGGTATGATGATGTCTGCAACACTGAAGATTGTCAGCATTGCTCCAGCTTCCTTTAATGCTACAGCATAAAAATCTGTATCTACAATAGTACATTCAATGATGCACGTGGATGTATCAATGACAAGCCTGTATTTCTAATGAATTCTGGTTTTATTTACAGCATCATGGTGGATGTATTCATTAGAGTTATCAAAAAGAATAAATAAATCAAAAGAAAAGTTATCAAAAGAATAAAGCTTGCATTCTTCATAATCACGCTAATCCAGTATTTGGATGATGGTAAGGCTCCCGTTCTACACACATACCATTCAGCTCTAGTCTACATATCTGATATTTTGACCAGCCACTGTTACATTATTAAAGTTTTAACACTCATGCTGCACCACAGTTTCAAAACCTCTATTGTTTTAATAATAGCTCTAAAATAAACTTTTTAATTGTTATAATCATATTTGTTTTGATTTTTTAGCAGACTTAAAAAAAGTGCATGTCCTTTTACTTTTCTAGCAAATTCTAAACAACTTTCTTTCGAATTAAAATATACAAATAATTTAGTTTTTATAAAGTTCTACCACTATTTCATTCATTAGCTGACATGGCACTAAATATGCTTTCAAGGTATGCTGATGTTGCAGGAATTGAAAAAGCATACAAAACTATTTTAAAAATATTCATACATTTATAAACAGCACCTATAAAAACTTTGTGTCATACGCTACTTGATGTTTTGGATCTTATAAAATGTTCAGAAATTCTCAGCACTGCACGTGGTTATAACCGGATTTTTAATCAGAGTTACACTGGCCGCCTACTTTTACTGAGCCAGGCTATCTGATCAAACATGTAACACAAAGGACAAGAAAAATTAGTGAAGTTAAAAATAGGGAGCGAGGGGCAACTGCACCTTCACGCTCAAAATCTGAACTTTGAATAATGATTTTGATTGTCACATTAGCGTGTTTCTCTCTAGTCTACAGCAAAATATACTTGCCCAATTTTTGGCATGTGATTTTTTGCTGGGGGAAAAAACAAAGAAACTCCTTTTTTTGAAACAGCTCATTGTTGGAGATGAAAGGTGGATACTATACAATAATGCTACATGAAAAAGATGACGGGGTAAACCAAATGAACCTCCTTTAGTAATATTGAGAAAAGGACTGCATCTCAAAAAAAAAAAAAAAAAAAGTGCACTGTGGGCTTGTAAATGAATTGTGTGCTATGAATCATTGTCAACAAATTAGACAATAAATTTGGAAAAAATACTGTTCCCTAATGCCAGTTTTAAAAGCAGAAATTGAAACAAAGTGCCCAAAACTGACCAGTCATCAAGTTGTTATGTTTCATCATGACAATGCTCGGCCCTACAACTTAATGAATATCAGACAAAAATTTATTCTGTCTTAAACATTTTGTATCACTCCTCATATTAGACCTTGCTCTCTTGGGTATCCATTTCATAAGGTCACTTCAAAACTCTCTTCAAAACATTCACACATTCATTTCAGCATACAAACAATTTTATGAAGAATAATAAATTAATTGAATTGAAACTTCCATATAAAAATATACAATTAACAACAGCGAAGTTACATTACTGTGCAAATAATCCTAGAAGTATAAATAATTTGATATGAAAAGAAAAGATATTTATTTACTCACAAATGTTATAACTTCCTCCCAGTTAAATGTGTTAAAGTTCAGCCTATACAGTGTCTGTACTAATTTCTCTGCTTCTTCTTCATAACCACCAAAAATATACATGTAATCTCCAATTACACATGCTGAATGGCCATCTACTGATTTGGGAATATTACCACCAGTGACAGGTATTGACCATGAACGATCATCTGAGTAAAATATATATAAATACATAGTAATTTAAATATGTGTACATTGAAAGCTCAACTATCCGGAAAGCTTGGGGAATATCAAATGACAGATAAGTGAAGAATTCCGGATAGTTGAACATATTGAAAATTAAATTCATAGTAGAACATTTATATGAATAGGAAAAGAAATGTCCAGGCTAAAACTATAAAAACAGAATTCTTATCTGTTATCAGCTTGAATATCAAAGGCCTTACATTTAATATTACAATGATTTAAAAAAATTCGGACATAAAATCTAACAAATTTTTGTATGCTTTAAATAAAAAAAAAAAAAAAAAAATGCATTCAACATCTACAGATGTCATTTGAAAATGAAAGTCCATCTCATGCTACTGTATTTAGATGGTTTACAGAACTTCACAGAAACTGTTTGCGCAAATGATATTGTGCTATTGTGGTGGCAGGAAACTTTCGTTATAATCCAATATTCCGAAAGGTTTGTTGAAACATTTAACAATGAATCAAGAGGAATCAATATGAGCCAAGGTCAGTGCAAAGATATATTCAATTAAAGAAGAGTTACATGAGCACAATCAAGAATGTTGGGTACGTGCTCAGTGATGATTACAAGATGTACACAAACATCGTTTATTCTACATTACTCATCTACTATTCTATATTACAGTTATGGTTAAAGATAATAATAGATACAGTTACAGTTACATATATAACATCTCCCTTTTTTATAAAAAATAATAATAGTAGTAAAATTAAACATATTCTTTTAAATAATAAGGTTTCTTAACAGTCCTACCAGATAGAGTGACGTAGTTATGTCCATTTGAAAAATTTGATGATACTATACCTCTTTCACTATTTGGTGACACAACACTTCTGTTAGATTTTGAAGGACTTACAGGCACATCTAAATTTGTAGTGCTCCTACTATTTTCATGTATTTCGGGTTCATCTATAACTTCATTCTCATAGTTGTTTTGTATTGCAAACTCTTCTTGATTAGTTCCTTTAAGAAGGTCTCTTCTGTTCCTTTCTACAATTCTTCCATCTGTTCTTATAATCCTATATGAACGTGGTCTTTCTGCTTCTTCTATAATTTTCCCTCTTTCATTTAGTTTTTTCCCTTTCTCTTTTATGTAAACATGATCTCCTGTTTTCAGTGGTTTTAATGGTCTTGCATTCCTATCATAATAACTTTTTTGTAAGGTTTGTCTCTTCAGTAAATGTTGTTTATGGTCTTCATATCGTTTAGCCCGGACAAAATTCTCTTTTATAGGCATCAATCCATTTACTTTTCTTCCAAACATCAATTCTGAAGGTGACTTAATTTCATCTGAAATAGGAGAGTTATGATATTCCAGTAAAACTAAATATGGATCTTTGTTGTCAACTACAGCTTTTTCTAACATTCGCTTGACAGTTTGAATATGTCTTTCAACCATTCCATTAGACTGTGGGTATTTTGGACTTGAAGTTCTGGTTTCAAAATTCCATCTTCTTGCAAAATTTTTATATTTCCTGCAATTATATTGTGGACCATTATCCGAATATACTATTTTCGGAATACCATGTCTTGCAAAAATTGATTTCAATTGCTTTATCACTGCTACACTTGACAAATCTTCCAAATGTCCAATTTCAACATATTTGCTAAAATAATCTATAACTACTAGATAATCCCTTCCTTGAAAGTAAAAGAGGGTCTGTTCCCAACTTCCCATGGACCATTAGGTATTTCTTTAGATATCATTGGTTCTTTAGTATTAGCTTTTTGTAAACTTAAACATGTTTGACAATTCAGTACCAAATCTTCAATTTCTTTGGACATTCCTGGCCAATATAATATTTCTCTTGCTTTGATCTTGCATTTTACTACTCCTAAATGACCATAATGAATTCTGCTTAACGTATCTTTTCGTAAACTTCTTGGTACCAACACAGGAATTTTTAACATATTAATCCATTTGCTTCTATAGTTCTTCTCTGAAGTTAAAATATGGTTTTGCCAGTTCTGGAACCATACATTTTTCATCTGGCCATCCAGTTTTAATTAATTTTCTTAAAACTTGTAGTTCTTCATCTTTTTCTGTCTCCAGTTGAAAAACTTCCATTTTACCATTAGACATTGGTATACATTCTACAACTAATCCAACATGAGCTTCTATTTCTCCTTCAAAGAAATCAGATCCTTTATCAGTGAATGATCTTGATAATGCATCCGCTATAAAAAGTTCTTTTCCTGGTTTATATTTTACCTTAAACTGATATGGCTGTAATCTTATACGCATTCTTTGTAGTCTTACAGGGCATTTATTTAATGGCTTTTTAAAAATTGATTCCAGTGGTTTATGATCACTTTCCACAGTAATATTTTCTCCAAATATACTGGTGAAATTTCTCACATGCAAATACAATAGCTAAAGTTTCCTTTTCAATTTGAGCATAATTCTTCTGTGTATCTGTTAATGCCTTAGATGCATATGCCACTGGTAAATTATTCTGCAGTAAGACTGCTCCTAGTCCTTCTTGAGATGCATCTACAGATAAAACTACTGGCATGTTTATAACATAATTCTGTAAAACTGGTTTATTTACCAAGACATCTTTTAGTCTTCTAAACGCTTTTTCATGTGTTGCATTCCAGTTCCAGATAACTTGTTCTTTCAACAAATCTCTTAAACATGATGTCAATTCTGATACATTAGGTATAAATCTAGAAACATATGTAATCATTCCTAGGAAAGTTTCTAATTCTTTCACATTTTTTTGGTGGTTTTATATCTAGAATAGCCTTAATTTTGTCTTCATCTGGTTTTAAACCATCTTTAGAAAATATATGTACCTTATATATTTCACTTCATTTAGCCCAAATTTACATTTATTTAAATTAAATGTAAACATTCTTTTCTCTGGCTCTTGTCCAACAACGTCTTTAATCTTGAATCATGTTCTTTTTTATCCTTTACCCCAAACTAATAAGTCATCTATATATATTTGAACTCCTTTCTAAATCACTAAAAATTTCAGAAAAACTTCTGTGGAAAACTTCTGGTGATGAACTCAGTCCATATGGCAACCTTAAAAAACAATATCTACCAAACGGAGTGTTAAATGTAGTAAATTCACAACTGGAATCTGACAGTTTAATTTGCCAAAATGCTTTGTTTGCATCTAAAATACTAAAGACCTTTGCATTTGTCATTTGAGATTGAAGTTTCTTCAAAGGTTGGTACGTGATAATGTTCTCTCAGTATATTTTGGTTAAGGTGCTGAGGATCTAAACACACTCTTAAATTTCCATCCTTTTTCCTTACTACCACTAATGAATTCACGAATTCTGTTGGTTGGTTAACTTTCTTTATAATACCATCTTTTTCCATTCTTGCTAATTCCTTTTTTAATGGATTTAATAAGCTAAGTGGAATTTTCCTACAGGGTTCTATTTTACCAACAGTTCCTGGTTTTAATTTAATATGATATGTATATCCAGTTAAATTCCCAGTTCCTTTAAACAAATCTTGATATCCTTTTAAAAGTTCTGGTAACTTTTCATTAGAATCAGGATTTACTGTACAAATCCTTTGTATTAGGTTTAATTTTTGCAATGTAGGTAAACCTAAAATAGCTGGAACAGTTTTATCACATGCTACAACTTGAAATTCTATTTCATCCTTGTCCCCTTTCGATGTTTCACATAATAATTTACATTTTTCCAACTACATCAATTGTAGTACCATTGTAATTATTTAAAGTGATTTTGATTTAGTCAAACATTTCTCTCTTAAATTTAATTGTTTAAATTTAGGCAATGGTAGCACATTACACTGAGCTCCAGTATCCAACTTAACAAATAAATATTTATATATGTTTACTTTTAGTTTTTCAAACCATTCGGTTTTATTTTTAGAAAATGGATTTATATCTTCTACTGACCCTAAAATATATTCATATATTCATTACCATTATTATGTAGCTCATGCTCTAAATTATTCTGAACAACATTAACATTTTTAAAAGTGCAAATTTTAGAAAAGTGATTTTTCTTTTTACAGTACAAGCAAATCTTATTATGAGCAGGACAGTTGTATAACTTATGAAAAGTTCCACATTTTCTACATGGTTTTGGATTATTGTACTTATTTCCTTGATAGTTTGAAGAAGATTTAGTACTTTGTTGCTTTTGTTTTACATGAAAGTCTTTCTTACAAGGCTGACTTTTTTCCTCTGAAGGTCGAAATTTATTACGTTTGATAGCTTCTATTTTATTTTCTTCAGTTAAAGTTTTCAGCTGAAGTTCTGCTAATTCAGAAGCTTTACACATTTTAATACATTTCTCCAATGTTAACTGATCTTCCCTTAATAATCTATCTTTGAGATTTTTATTTAGAATTCCATTTACTATTCTATCCCTTATTAAATTATCTTTTAATTCTGCAAATCCACAGTTGCTACTTAATTTCTTTAAATCGGTTAAGAAATCATCAAACGATTCACCTACATGTTGTGTTCGACAGAAAAATATATGTCTATCAACACTTTCGTTTGCTTTCGGTATGCAAAAATTTTCGAAAGCTTCAATTACTTTGTCAACATCCTTCTTATCTTCTTCACTTAAATTAAAAGTATTAAATTTTTCAAGTGCTTCTTCACCAATAATATGCAACAAAATAGCTACTTTAATTTCAGGTGATTTAGTAATACCACCAGACGCTAACATATAAATTTGGAATTTTTGTTTCCATTTCTTCCAATTTTCGCTTAAATTTCCTTCGAAACTTAGATTACTTGGTGGCTTTAATCCATCCATATTTAATTTAGGACTTTAAATAGTTTATATATACGTATTTTTAGCCACTTCCAATAAAAATAAACAACGCACTTACCAGGGATATAAGTTTCGATTTCACAGTAAACAACTTCCCATGATGTTTTTGTTTAGAACATCTTTAGGGAGGCTGCATGGTTCTTCAAAAAAGATTTTCTTTTTTAATCAAGGACGAGCTGCGCCATGTGTTGTATTTTATATGTGTTGGGTACGTGCTCAGTGATGATTACAAGATGTACACAAACATCGTTTATTCTACATTACTCATCTACTATTCTATATTACAGTTATGGTTAAAGATAATAATAGATACAGTTACAGTTACATATATAACAGTGGGGAGATTGAGAATTTTTTGGGGGTCACATTAAATGTTTGCTGTGACATGTATATGACATGCGACATTCACATCTGCATCACAAAGTGACATCTCTGTGACACTGTATCATGATCACAAATAGAACATGAAGAAAATGTAACACTGGAATGTTACTGTAATGTCACAGCTACTAAGTGTGCTGTATGAAACACTAATGCTATTTTGGAAGAAATTCAAGACAAAACCCTGCACAAAAGTGATTAAACTTATGTGGGAACAAGGGAATTTACCAACATTGAAGGCTTGCTGGCATCAACTCTTACTAGAAGTTGTCAACAATTTTAAAGGCTTTCTAATGATTCAAAATGAAGCCAATGAATTCTACAAACTGCAAAAGCATTTGGTGCCAAAAGATTTTCAGATATGGAAGAAAGAGAAGTCAAAGAATTAATCAAGAAATGATGAATGAGAATTGAATGATCTCTTACAACATCAACCGACAGTGAAAGAAGCAATAATGAATAAGATAGAATGCCTTTAATTTTCTAGTTAAATGAATTGTTAAAAAAAGGGGCAGGGTCTGTCTGGTTTAGCCCAAGACCCAAGTGAAGAAAGAAGACGGTGCTTTATGAGAGAAGCTGAAAAACTAGGCACTCCTTACCACGCATTTTTAAAAGAACTACATGTAAAAATCACCAGCTTAAAATTATTGTATCAAGTACCAACTTATTACAGTCATAGAAGTCCTTTCAATTAACATTTGTTTTGTTTTACTCATTTAAATACAACAATATTTAGGTTTGTTTAGAGCATACATGCTTTCTTAATCTGAATTAAATCTAAAATCTTTTCCCTATAGTTAACTTTGAAGAATGCAATTCTGTTATGCATGCAGTGTATTGATGATGTAACCCCTGCATTCAGCAAGGGTTTACTGTATTTAATTTACTTAAAATTTACTTAAAACTTTTATAATTTCATCTGTGTTGGCTACTATTTGGTTTTATTGTTTTTCAGGGTAACTTTACAGCTGTTCGAGTATCACTTGCTTACACTGCTACAAAGCTAAATATGATGCTCTAGCTAATTTGTTTTTACATTTCTGGAAGATACAGCTAAGGTACTACCGGCAATATAAGGGTTCACCAAGTAACACACAGCATTCATCCATTGTGCTAATTTTTGAACTTAATGCTCTGAACTCACTATACTAGGTTTCGAACTCATCTGCAATTCTATATCTTATTAATTAAGCATTTGAGATCTGGCAGAAAGAAACTTGTTAATCTTTTTTCACTAGATGACATGGTTGCAAAGATAGGCAGAAATTTATGAGCACATTATTGCCATTTTAGCAGGACTTAAATTGCACCAGAGGCCACTGGAACCCCACTCTGGTACTTATTAGTTCTTAGGATAAATTCTAATTCTATTCTGGGTGCACCGGAACCCTAAATAAGAAAGCTCAGGCACTTCTTTTAAGTAACTGAACAGCAATTTCAGTAGAAATTTGATGTCGCAAATTTTATTTTTAGCAATAAACTTGTATTCAAAATTGCTTTCTAAATTTTATTTAATTACTTTAGTAGTTAACAGTTAATTAATTATGCATTAATTAAACACTAATTATCAATTACATAATTATTAATTAATCTGATAACAATTAACTATTTAATTTTAAAATTATTATTGATTTTAATAGTCATTTTATTTATTTATTTTCATTTGTTCCTCTTTTCTGATGGTCTTCCATACAGCTCCACTTTTAGAAATTAAGCCCTGCATTTTAGATACATTTGGGATCAGTATAATTAAACATCATTCAAATGCCAGTCACTTATTATCCAGTTAGATTATATATGATTCTCTTATAAAAAGACAACATGATAAGAGAACTATGTCACCTAGTATCTTGTCTTAAGTAAATATCACAGCTTAATGAGCTAATAATAAATAAAACTATAATAAAAGCTATAATAAAAACTATCAAAATCGTGAAACATGAAGTTCAAAACTTTTATCATTAAATTATTGTTCAAACGATAAAATTCATTCCTTTCTATGAAGAATAATTCTTGATCAGATTGGCAAACATTTCTCTGTAATTATTTTCTCTACATTTATCTCTGTATTTCTCCACATTTTGTTTTCATTATAGATGGCACTATTTCTATAATTCCTAATATCTGAATACTAATACTTATTTTCAGTGCTGACATGCTAGCACAACCACCTTGGTAGAAGTCACCAAATTTTCATATTATGCCAAACATTGGCAACCAACTGTGTAACAATTTTTCACTTTTAATAAGCAATACTATTATTTTCCTGTGTGCTTTTTTTGTTATATTCTAAGTGTCAATGGCTTATTCACTTGTCAGTACTTGTTAATTGATTGAAGTTTAGGATAAATACTAATTTAAAATGTAAAATATGCAAATTTTCTTTTCTTTTATAACTTATCATTATTTTGTAAATAATAACCAAACTGCACCAGAAAGGTTGCTTCTACTATGTAAGTACCTTACTTTTATAAAAGAAAGATTTAAAAATATGTAATTATACATAAATAAAAACAGATATGAAGCATAGCTATATTTTAAAAGAATTCCTTACCAACATCAAAACAGTGCAAAATATTAGATGCATTGAGATCATTCCTTCCACCCCAGAGATAAATTTTTCCTTTGTATTCAACAACTGCATGTCCATAACGTTTGAAAGGTGCTGCTTGTGCTTCAGTATAGTGAACTGGACACCACCTAAGAGTATCTAAAAAATAAAACAAACAAAAACAAAAAAATGGATACACTATTTTTCAATAAAATAGGACATTTTGATATAACTTGTAATGATTACCAGATTAAAATATTTAATATAACATCATTATTAATCCAAAAGAAAACATTTATTTGAATAAACATAACTTTCACCTAAATAAAATTCTCTTTTCATACACAGATTAATATGGACATTTATATGAAAATTTTTCACTCACTATTAAATTTTAGAGCACAATGTTTTAACAGTAAAACAAATTCTCAAGACAATCACAATTTTTTAAAATTAAATGGAAAAAATGCAATTATTAAAATTATTTATAAAAATGAAACCATCTGCTGCTTTATTCAAGAATTTCATTTTGTAATTAAACGAGGGCAGAAAAAAAAAAGGTGAAATGTGCAAAATATTAGGCTTCTTAACATTTCATGCATTCTAATACATATCTTATCATTTGCTGATTTCACAAGAAATTTATTTGAAATTCAATTTATTTTTAGAAAGGTTTGGATTTCCATGTTAATTCAAGTATACTATTTAGATATCAATAATCATATGAAATACACTGACCACTTTTGGGGCAGATATCTGCTAATCTTTAGAAATGATGAGCTAATCAAAACATCATAAATTTTATGGCAAATACCAACAAATATATAAAAAGAAAGATTCTCAGTTTTCAGGTTCAAAAATCAAAATAGAATGAAATACAGAAATAAAAAATATGAATTTTATATTTATTTAATGCTTTATGTGCTTATCTTACATATTTCTCATTCATTCATTCGTAAATATACATATTAATTTCTAACACTTTTATATTTAATATTTTAAAAAATTACACTCTAGTCAGCTCGATTTTAAAATGTGCTTGATTTAATATGTTTCTTTATTTTCAGAATACAGCCTATTTCTTTCAATGTTACACTGTTTGTTTCATCATACAGAAAATAAGTAGTACTATTGTATTTAATAACATGATTTTTAAGACTTTTCACTGTAAAAAGCACATTTATTTTATGAATTTTATTTAGCCTTATTTTTTTATTCCTCTTTCCTTAGCTTTGTTAATGAGAAATATCATGTAAACCCAAGTTTCCATGTGGCTTCCAAAAAACATTTGGTGGATTAGGTCTCTCAACTGAAGCTGTTACTTCTTCCACGTTATTTTATTATGTTTCCAATTTTATATTTCTTTGTTTCATACTTTGGAAAGAATACTAGTCTCCAGTCAATAATGTTAAATATTACAAAAGATAAATCAAACAGAAAGTAAAAGTTAAAAATACTCTATATCTTAAATTGCAAGAAGAAATTTTATTTTTACTGCAGCAATCAAATGATAATGAAAGGATTTTAGATGGTGATGCTTTGTGGATTTCTTTTCTGAATGAAATGAAGTAAACTGCCCTAGTGATGGCCCGGGTTTGAATTCCAGAGAAGCAATGGATGTAACTGTCCGTCCCTTCATAGGAGGCAACGATGGCCACCTTTTAGGTGTTTTCATAATGAAATGGCCATCACTTTTCGCCCTTGTAGCAGAACAAGGCCTATTAAATAAAGTGCCCAGCCACACACACACAAAAAAAAAATAATAAGCAATTTAATTTTCTGAAATCTTCCAACTTTAGCCATTGGAAATATGGAAAACTATATACTTACATTAATAATTAGAATATTTAAGCTCTAAAAAAGAAATAATTATTACACATTTCAAAATGATGAATTTTTAATTTTCTAGAAATTAAGCTTAGCAAAAAAATTCTCTCATCCTTTGGATTGAACATGTGGCAGTGTCTATTCCAATAGTTACATAAGTGAAACTATTTTCCTTGTCTGCAAAAGGTTAACAGAATGAGAGATTACTTAGATCTCAGATATATATACAGTCGATTCTGGTTAATCAGACCACATAGGGAAGCGATTGTTTTGGTCCTAATAACCGGCTGGTCTGATTACACAAACATGTCCTATATTGTAAGACGGTGCGTGCTATATGTAGCAAACAGTAAATGTACATGCAAATCATGTAGTAAAATTTAATTATTAATTTTATGATGTGGTACACACGTACGGCGAACATACATGTACAAATAAAAAATACAGTTGAACCATTTTCCATTGAGAGAATTACTTTAGAAACAAATTCTAAGAAACAATCTCCACGATACTCAACATGCGAAGCACAATAAAAACAATTTCTAACCAAGTTCCAGTCAACATTTGAAGAATTTATCCAGTGTGATCTGACTCTTTCTCTTGACGGATTGCACGCAAACAAAATCGCCACAAACATCTAATGCAGCAATGGGACTGCCTTCATTTCCCTCCTGCATGAAATACCAATGCAAAGTTTCAATGCATTTCCTCGTATCCTGTGTTGTCACTTGCACCAACTCATTAACGGCATCAATATCATCACTTTCTTGGTCTTCCGATGCTGTTGTGTGTTTTACTGCAACTCGAGCAACGATTGCAGCATCGTAATCTTCATTTTCATCGTAGCATTGAAGTTCGTTGTCAGTAAATAAAATTTTGGCTAATCTTTGGAATATGGTAACAGGTAGTTTGGCGACATTTTGGTAAGGCGATAAAGATTACTAGCTAGGACTTTAGCAGTGTACATGGATAAAGTCAAGAGTGTGCGCAATGCCATTTTTGTGCAATTCTGGGATTTTTTTTAAGTGAAAATAGGTCGACGTGTACATGGAAACCGTGTATGTACAATTCTTAGAAACGCGGCAAGCAGTGGGCGATTCTGCACTCTCTCCCAATTTTGCACCTAATCTTCGTCATGATTAAGCACTTTTGTTCCAAAAAAGTTCTAGCATAAGCGTAATTCGGCTAGCAGATTGTTGGAAAAAAATTTTGAGAAAAAAAAAAAAAAAAAAGCCTTTACTTCGTGAAAACAAAATGGCGTCCAAAAAAAAAAAAAAAAAATAGCAGGTTGCTGTAGCAGGGTTGGTCGCCAAATTTTCGCCAAGTTACCGTAATCTGAAGATTAAGCAAAAATTCTTCACAATTTGGTACCTGTTGAAATTCCATGTGCAACTCATAATTTTCCTTTTCACATCCATCTCCAAAACCTGCCATCCTTTGGAAATAAGTGCTTAAAGCCACATTGAGAAAAACAGTTCTGAACTGTCTTACTGCTCACTTTTCGCCAGCTGTCAGCCACAAATGTAACTTGCCTGTAAGATGTTGACCTTTGCACTGACTTTGCTGCCTTTTGACGATAAGGTCAGCAAACTTTCTTCAATTGTTTCAAGCATGTAATTAACCAACCTTGCACGATAAAGGGTCTTCAAATTTTTTATGATGCCTATGTCCATTGGCTGGACCAAAGCTATGGTCCTGGTAGGTAGAAATTCCAGTTGGACGTTCATCAAGCAATTTGAATGAGGATGTGCTGCACAATTGTCAAGAAGAAGCAGCACTTTTTTCGACTGGCGTTGTAGCTCTCTGTTTCAATCCTTCAGCCATTCTTTAAAAAGTTCAGAGGTCATCCCCACATTTCTGTTCTCACGATACACAACTGTAATTTCCTCTTGTCCGTTCCTGATGTGTTTGAGCAGCACAAGACAGTTACGCGATCCATCGCTTTTTTTGGACTCAGAGAATGCAAAAAGTTTGTAACTTAACGAGCCGTCCGGTGTAGCAGGATAATACAGCCCAGTCTCATAAGCATTGTAGATGTCATCTGCTGAAAAATTTTCAAGAAGCTAGGAGAGTTTTGCTGATTTCCATTCTTCAGCATTTGCACTATCAGCACTTTCTTTATCGCCATGTGCTTTATTGAATTTTATGTCATGTCTAGATTTCCATCGAGACAACCAACCGTCCATACAGTGTTATTCCTAGGATTTTTTTGGAAGAGTAAAAATACTCCTTGAGTTTTTTAGGAGGAGTGAAATACGGAAATAGCATAAAGTACATATACAGAAACAAATTTTCTATTTAAAAAAAACACTTTTTAATGGACAAAATGAAATAGAAAAAAAAGGAGGCAATTTGACAATTATAGCATATGTTAAGTATTAGTAGAAAATATTAAACATTATAAATAAAAGAATTTATTTTACATTAAACATTCTAAATGAAATATTTAATATTACAAATTTAATATCCTTTTTGTCTGATTTTTCCACAATTTTGCAGCTGATTTCCTTACAATATCAAAACTCTTTCAAAATTAAAAGTTACAAAAAACATTTATTCTTGGTTACATTACAATTTTAATCTCTCTTTTCCCTTATTTCCTTACAATATCACAGCTCTTTCAAAATTAAAGTAGCAAAAAACATTTTTTCTTGGTTACATTACAATTATAATCTCCTTTTCCTCTGATTTTTTCCACAAGGTTAATGCTCTTTCAAAATTAAAATCACCAAAAACTTTTCACCTTTGTTCTTTGAAATCTGGGCTTTGCTCAGATATTCTCCTTGGACTATCCAGTTGTTTTTCCTCCAATCTATTTCTCCTACTTGATTTGATCCTATTTTGAGTAGAAAACCCTCTTTCACAAATAGCCGTCGACAAAAGTATAGTCATAACTATTTGTGCCAGGGCTGTAAATCCTGGATATAAGAGTTCAACATCTAGACTCGATGAGAACAACAAAGTGGCAAACTGTTTAAATTTGAATTCTCTGTAGCGTGCATAAAAACACTCTATTTCAAGGTGCTCTTGCTTTAACTCTTCTGCTGAAACACCCAAAACCAAAATACAATCTGTCCTATCATAATGTTTAATAACATTACTAGGGACTCCAATCTTGATGATTCTGTTGTAACACAAAAGGGATTCAACAAAACATCAAAATCCTGCAAAAGATGCATCTGCTGCAAATTAAATCTTTCTTGCAGATTCTCTATCAGTGCACTCAAAAAAGCATTTTAGCACTCATGAAATCATTTAAAGATTTAGTAGAAACAGATAATTTAATATCTTGAACTCGATAATACCCATTATTAAGAGCAGACTCAAAAATT